AGGTAAATGGTAGTGTTAAAATGTCTTTTTAAACTGTAAATAATCTGAAACAAAACTATTTAGCAGAGATAAAAAAAAATTAGCCAGATGCAAACATAAATTCATGACTATTCAAGTGATATAAGAGATATAAGTAATTACAGCTATTTAACAAGACTCTTTGCTGACTTCAGCAGAAAAAAAGAAATAAATCAAACTCATTCTAGTCAGATTTATGCCAACCCTGCTCATCACTTACCACTAATATTTTGTGCGAGTTTAGACTGTAACAACTAATGAGCAATGCTCTGTTATCAGACACTTGAAGAACCAGGCATTCATTTTTTTATCTATTTCCAAAAGCAGATAAAAGCATTCTAGTTTCATGTCCAAGTTTCTATTTCAATAGACACTTACCAAGTAAATACTTAAAATTATTTTTCCCAGATAGGAATAAATCTTTTACTCAACAATGAAATTTAACATTTATCACTTCCATTATTTTCTGCACCAAAACAGGCTGCCAAAATGTCCTGGTTTTGATAGGATACAGTTAATTTATTTTTTTTAGTAGCTAGAACAGCGCTGTGTTTTGGTTTCAGCTGGGCTTTGTTACAAGAAGAACGTTGATAACATACCCATGTTTTTAGTTGTTGCTGGAAGTCCAAGGACTTTGTGTTTTGCTTGTTTCCAAGTGCAAAGGACTGCGTGGGGAAGTGTAGTAACCAGCAAAACCCAAAACTGCCATTTGGCTATGCCAATGAGAGATACCATATAATATCATGTCATGTTCAGTGTATTAATGAAAGCTGACCAGAAAGCTGGGGATTCTCTCAGGGATCACTCAGGCTCTCGCTCTTCCAGGATTGTGGTTTCAGGACTGTCTCTGCTCCAGGATCACTGGCTGGGGACAGGCTGGGCATCGGTTGGCAGGTGGTGAGCAACTGCACTGTGCATCACTCATTTCCATATTTTATAATTACTGTTATCATTATTATTTTGTTTTATTTTATTTCAATTACTATATTGCTTTTATCTCAACCCACAAGTCTCCTTACCCCTCCAGTTCTCTCCCCTGTTTCTGGCAGAGTGAGTGGGGAGACTGAGCAAGTGGCTGTGTTTGGCTGCTGGCCAAGTGAAACCACCACACAAAACCACAGAAAACATTTATTTTTTTAAATAGACTCCTACAGATGGGTTCCTAGGATAGTCTTCCTTGATTGTCTTTAGTTTCAAGATTCTTTGGCTAGGGCACACACATCCTTTTCAAGATGCTTACCCTTTCTCTAGCCACTACTTCATTAAAGTACTATGATTAGGTCTCAGATGATGGAACAGAAGCCTGAAACAGGAAGGGAAGCTCCCAGCCTCCAGCCCCCTGGGGCAGGCTGTGAAATGGAAGACTCAGCAACCTCAGCAAACAGCTTTCTATAATTGAGAAATCCCAAGGGACACTAAATGTTCCTCTTACTTATTACTACAAATATACATGTATATTTTGTGACAAATATATTATTAAAATCTTTCTGAAAAGCTACTTAATACTACACCCACTTTCTAAAGTGATAAACTTTGGTCATCTTCGCCTTCCTCCAGAAAGACTCCAGCTGCAATTCCGTTTATTACAAATCACTGCTATTTATATCTGCATTACTCCATCCTTCCAAGTAAGCTAGTTTTGCCACTGACATTAGCATTTCGGCTTATTTCTTTCATCCCAGCACAGCAGGAGGGAAGAAAGCTGAAACTTGATCTTGTTCAACGCAGCAATGATGTGTGTATTTGAAATATCCTTGTTATTTAGTGCTGAGATCTCCATCAGTGGAGAAAACTGGTAACCCTGAAAATGACATTTAACAAGAATGCTAATGATAGCTCATCCTCAGCAATCACCACTGATACATGGAGCAGAACACATTCTATATATACACACAGATACATGTCTAAATGTATATATTTTCTATATAAATGCCTATATTTTCTCCCATAAAAAGAAAAGCGTGGATGGATATATATATAAATCCTTTCCACAGTAATTCCTCTGAGTTCAAACTCTCTGCCTTTGGTTTCAGCTATCACTACTGCACTTTCTGAAGAAGGAATTTTTAGGAATGACAAGAGCCAAATCTCTTTTTCCTGTATCAAGTAAAATTTCTGTAAAAGTGATTTATGAAACTTTAAAATATTTCAAATGCTTTTTCTTCTCTCTACTTAGGGTCCCATTTCAGGCAAGCACTCTAACAAAAAAAGAGTGAAAAGGGTATTTTGCTTTAAGCAAGTTTTAAGTGAATTCTGGTAGGGTCTTTTGTGGTTTTTGTTCGCTTACTTTTTATGTTGACCTCACTTATCAGTCCAAATTTTAGAATGAAATCAGACCTTCTTACCTTTTGTTTTTTTCCCTCCTTTTGATATATAACATCTGCATTTCTAAAAGCAGACATTGATTCATTTTTATTTACAAACAGTACGTATTCCTTTCTTCAATAATTACTTCTAAACAGAAAAAAAAAAAAATCATTTTATAGTGAAAGCTCTCCAGAAAGTATATTTTAAAAGAGTGTTTTCCATGAAAAGAGTGTAAAAGAATTCCACACCTCCAGTCCCTTTCCTGTCACCCAGGAAGGACTGGAATAGTATCATTTCCATATCCATGACATCTGCAGTCCAATTTTGAATCCATATTACTCATTCTGCTTAAAGCACAAGGAATTGATGTTTCTAAGGGCAACTAGATTCGAAAACTTTGCTGTGAAATATATTTTACAGTTCAGCCATCCTGAGACAGCTCTTACCTGCCAAGCTTTCAGATGGGTGTTTTGAAGGAAGATGATCAAGCCATCGTAGACAAGACAATGTAAAAGAAGTGGCACAGGGGAAAAAAAAAAGGCTAGGGTGCTTATTTTTAGTCAACATATTTACAGTGAAAGTTGACTCAACATCACTCACTGGTGGCTCCAAACGTGCTATATTGTAATTTTGCCAATTATACTACTGGGTAAAATAATAAAATAATTAATTATGTGGCAAAAGAAGCTATACACTTGGAAAGCTGCTGGGAAAAAGAGGAATCACAGG